ATTATTAAAACATTAATCTTTACAAACTAAGGACATTTTGATAGCCCGGGTAATCATTAATTGAGCAAGCAGTGTTTAACCACAATATCACCTGACGTGTGGATAGTGTGTTTGTCACTCCCTTTTTAGCTCACCTGAACCGAAGGCTCAAGTGAGCTTTTCTGGTCACATTTTGTCCGTCGTCCATCCGTCCGTCTGTCTGTCTGTCTAGCTGTCCGTCTGTCTGTCTGTAAACTTTTCACATTTTCGACTTCTTCTCAAGAACCGCTGGGCCAATTTCAACCAAACTTGCCACAAAGCATCCTTTGGTAAAGGGGATTCAAGTTTGTTCAAATGAAGGGCCATGCCCTCATTCAAGGGGAGATAATTGGGAATTAATGAAAATTTGGTGGTATGTTTTAAAAATCTTCTTCTCAAGAACAACTGTGCCAGGAAAGATGAAACTTATGGGGAAACATCCTCAGGTAGTGTAGATTCAAGTTTGTTCAAATCATGACCCTCGGGGGTAGTGCGGGGCCACAATGGCCCACCAAAGTTTTACATAGAAATATATAGGAAAATTCCTTAAAAATCTTCTCAAGAATAACAAAGCCATAATTGATCATATTTATATGGAAGCATCCTCAGGTAGTGTAGATTCAAATTTGTTCAAATCATGACCCCGGGGGTAGGGGGGGGCCACAATGGCCGACCAAAGTTTTACATAGAAATATATAAGAAAATTCATTAAAAATCTTCTTCTCAAGAATAACAAAGCCATAATTGATCATATTTATATGGAAGCATCCTCAGGTAGTGTAGATTCAAGTTTGTTCAAATCATGACCCCCGGGGGTAGGGCGGGGCCACAATGGCCGACCAAAGTTTTACATAGAAGTATATAGGAAATTTCTTTAAAAATCTTCTTCTCAAGAATAACAAAGCCATGATTGATCGTATTTATATGGAAGCATCCTCAGGTAGTGTAGATTCAAGTTTGTTCAAATCATGACCCCCGGGGATAGGGCGGGGCCAAAATGGCTGACCAAAGTTTTACATAGAAATGTATAGGAAAATTCATTAAAAATCATCTTCTCAAGAATAGCAAAGCTATGATTGATCATGGAACTACTTTTGGATTTAAACTTTTCAGTAATAAACCATTTTCTACTTTTTCCTAGCCACAGTGCTCAGGTGAGCGATGTGGCCCATGGGCCTCTTGTTAGCTCTTCTGAGCCAAAGGCTCAAAGAGCTAATGCTATGGCCATTTGTGCGGTGTGCGTAAACTTTTTAGAATATTGGCCATAAGTCAAGAACCCTTGACCAATCATTGTCAAATTTCACAGGGTATCCTTGGTCCAGGGGCTACCATTTGTACTAAAACTAGGGTTGGGGCCCTTAAACAAGGGGAGATAATCAGGAAAACAAAACCAAAAGTACTGGTTGCTAAAAAATCTTCTTCTCCAGAACCACCAGGCAGATTTTCACCAAACTTACATACAAGGATCAGTATATGTTGAAGATTAAAATTTGCACGGGGAATTACCCTGGTGCATAGGGCATGGTCTCAAGATCACTTCAAAGTTGACCTAAATTTACACTTAATAAAAACATTTATATTTTGCTTACTATAAAGACTAGGATCGTCAAATCTTGTAAGTTGATGCGTTTTAGGACTTCACTAAAAAGTAGGTCACGGTGACCTTTTTTTAAAATTTTGCGAGCATTTGTTTTCAAATTGATTTGAAGGCATATTTTGGACACTTTAAGGCCTATGATCGTCAAATTTGTCAGTTGATGCCTCTTGGGTCCTCAAACAACATCAACTTAAAAGTAGGCCACTGTGACCTACTTTTTGAATTTTATGGCTAATCCTTTCTAAAACATTTAATCCCATTATTTTAGACACTGAGAGGTTTAGAATCATGAAGTCTTGTAAATTGATGCATCTTGGGACCTTAAAACATATTTATGAAAAAGTAGGTCACTGTGACCTACTTTTTGAATTTCGCAGGTATTTGTTTTCAAATTGTTTAAAAGGCATATTTTGAATACTTTCAGACCTATGATCATCAAACTTTGTCAGTAGATGCATCTTGGGACTTCGGAAAACGTCGACCAAAATGTAGGTCACAGTGACCTACTTTTGACATTTTATGGCTTTATTTAAGTATCTCCGGTACTTATAGGCTCAGAATCATCAAACTTTGTCAGTTGATGCATCTTGGATTTCCGGAGAATGACGACCAAAAAGTAGGTCACGGTGAACTTTTGAATATCTCAGGTAGTTATTGGCTTAGAATCATCAAACTCTGTCATTTGATGTATTTTGGGTTTTCGAAAATCTTCAACTAAAAAGTAGGTTATGGTGACCTACTTTTGACATTTTATGGCTATATTTAAGTATCTCTCGAGTACTTATTGGCTTAGAATAATCAAACTTTGTACGTTTTTTCGAAGAAGAAGACAAAAAAGTAGGTCCCACTGACATACTTTTGAATATCACAGGTATTGACTTAGAATCAACAAACTTTGTCAGTTAATGTAACGGTTAACAAAGTTCGTCGACCAAAAAGAAGGTCATGGTGACCTACTTTTGACATTTTTATGGCTTTGTTTAAGTATCTCAGGTACTTATTGGCATAGAATCATCAAACTTTGTCAGATGATGCATCTTCCATTTTCAAGGAACGCAAACCAAAAATTATGTCACCTTGACCTACTTTTGACATTTCATGGGTATATTTTAGTATCTCAAATACTTATTGACCTAGAATCGTTAAACTTTGTGACAGTTGGGACATCTTTGGTTTTCAGAGAATGTTGAACAAAAAGTAAGTCATAGTGACCTACTTTTGAATATCTCATGTACTTATTGGATTAGAATCATCAGACTTTATCAGTTGATGCATTTTGAGTTTTTGGGTTTTTTGAAAATGATGACCAAAAAGTAGGTCACAGTGACCTACCTGTGACATTTTATGGCTATATATAAGTATCTTTAGTACTAATTGGCTTAGAATCATCAAACTTTGTCAGTTGATGCATCAGGTTTTCAGAGAATGTAGACATAAAAGAAGGTCACTGTGACCTACTTTTTAATATATCAAGTACTTATTGGCTTCAATCTTTGTCTATTAATGCATCTTGAGTCCTCAGAAAATTTTTCAATCTTAAAGTAGGTCACTGTGACCTACTTATATTTTTTAATAGCTTTATTGAAATATCTTCAGTCCTAACAGGCTAAGAATCATCAAACTTTGTCAGTTGATGCAACTTAGGTCTTAGGATACTTAGAGTTAGAGGCTTCAAATAGAAGCGATAGATTGTACAATTTATCAGAAGAGCGATTCAAGGCCCTTCAGGGCCTCTTGTTTTCCAATTAATTTTAATAAGCTTTAAAAACATTGTTAAAAACAGTTTAAAAACAGGTTCCTCTGAATATTGTGTGTAATATAGGCATTTGATGTTACATTTTACAGAAGAAAAGGGTTTTAGAGTCAGGTTTAAAGTAGCTATCGATGACATTTTTAAAAAATGTTTCGAATAGTCGACTATTGTTTGAATAATGGAATTGAATGTTCGACTAAGGAAAATAAATATTTTGACATCCCTACAAAAAATAAATGTTGTGTCCGGGGTGTATGCAACATGTTGTACGCGGGGTGCATATCCCCTATTTTTCTTTATAGTCACTGTATCATTGTCTGAAATATTATTGAAATTTTCACTTAACAATTAAATTTTGTAAAAGTTTTATCAAATGGGTTTAATTATTCACCAGTTTTGAAATAGCACAACTCCATGAATGCGATTTACTGGACAAATTTGATACATGCTCGTTAGGAGTGAAACGGTTCACCGCGGTATCGGTTCACCGCGGTATTTTTTCTCGGTTCGATACACGGTACAAAATCTCTACTTTCGGTTCGGTTCGTTTTTCGGTCAGGATCGTCATTCAGTTGGGTTTGGCATAATGTATAAACAAGCTTTTCTGTATAATTAGTTCAGAAACGTAAGTTTGTGTGGACTTTTAGTTTGTAAAATAATTTTTAACAGTCAAATCAATTAAATTGATACATTCTATCCATTTTGCACATAAATTATTTTACTATATTAAGTAAAAGGTAGCATAAAACAACATTGAATCTGTTTTCTTCTATAAAAATGTATCGTATCGAAAATAACAGAACCGAGACCAAATTTTTCGATACTTATCGAACCGTGAAGGAGGCGTATTGTTTCACCCTTAATGCTCGTCGTCCTTTTCTATTTGCACAACGATGTAAAGCTAGGTAATTTGTTTAACTCCCCTACGTGTAGGTAATACTTTTAGGAAGTAAAATCCCTTTTAACTGTCCCTACATTTTATTTTTAGAATAGAAATTCATTAATCTTTTAACCTCACCTGAACTGAAAGCTCAAGTGAGCTCTTCTGCTGAATTTTGTCTGTAGTCATTCTGTCCATCCATCTGTCTGGTAACTTTTTACATTTTCGACTTCTTCTCTGGAACCATTCAGCCAGTTTTTACCAAATTTGCCACAAAGCATGCCTGGGCAAAGGGATCGCAAGTTTCTTCAACTGAAGGCCTACACCCTCATTCAAGGGGAGATAATTCAAAAATGGTAAAAATTTGGTGGCATGTTTTATAAATCTTCTCAAGAACCACTGTGCTAGGAAAGATGAATTTATGGGGAAACATCCTCAGGTAGAGTAGATTCAAGTTTATTCTAATCTTTTTCTTGAGAACAGCAAAGCCATTGTGATTAGTCATATTAATATGAAAGCATCCTCAGGTAGTGTAGATATAGACTTGTTCAAATTGTGTGTGTGATTATGTGTATGTATGGAGGGGGGAGGGGGGGGCACAATGTAAGTTCAAACTATTAGGGTAAAAAAGACACAGTCAAAGAAATGCAGTGTTCAGGTGAGCAATAAGGTCCATGGCCTCTTTTCTTTTAACATGAACACAATAAATCAATTGAATATATTATAAAGACATTTTTTATATTTATTATCAGCATGGAAGTGACAGTGAAAATGACTTATGGGATGATACAGCATTAATTAAAGCATATGACAATGCTATCAGCATTGTTAAGGTAAGATTGAATGTTTTGACAAAACTTTAAAGGACATTTTGGTCCCCTGATTTTATTACAAGGAGGAACATTATGCAAGTCTGTCTGTCAGTTTGTACATGTCTGTGTGTTCAGCAGCATTATGACTGATTGATATTCCTAGAAATTACATTAGTTTAATTTACAGTGAATTTTCATAATATAATAAATACATTATATTAACATTTGTTATACCCTTAAAAAATAACTTTTTATATATTTATTACTAATTAAAAAGTCCAACAAAAAAAATGTTTATTACATCGGTCTATCAATTTGAATTTCACTGTTGACTGGCCTGCTATTGTACAACTATGATTCTTGTCAATTTCAAATAACTAGGTCAGTGACCTACTTTTCATGCTAGTGGCCCCTGAGTATTTCTCAGAAAATACCTCAATTTTTCACACTATGACCCATTTTTCTTTACTCACAAAATATTAAAGCAACACTACTCTTTAAATAATAAAATAATTATAGTAATGGAACAGCGTTGCTTCATATAAAGAAACAAATTGAGTTTGGGCCATTGAGAATTTCCTCTGTCATATTTATATTTTTTCCCCATTTTTAGTCGAATATTAAAAAAATCTGAATGATAAGAACTCTAAATTATTTATAGGCTCAGGTTACTTTTGTTGCCCTAATTCTCATGGTAATAATATTATATGGGGTCAATGATCAATTTCTTTATTTCAAAGCATTCAATTAAATGAAATAATTTATAAGCTTTAACACATATAATATTTTCAAAATGATGTTAAAAAAATACATGTAACCTTTACATTGTAATTAATATTGCAAGAAATAATAAATTTTGACAAAAATGAAAAATTAAAAATTTAGTCCAAATTTCCTCTGCATAACCATACATTGATTTTTGTTCCTGTTTAATTTCTTCGAATAATAAAATATTAATTTTTTAAATTAATTGATATAGAGTTAAGATATGTCACTCGTCAGCTTTTTAAAAAAGTTCACACAGAACCTTCTACTTCAAAACTATTTATTAAAATTCAATTTTTATAACATATGTTACAGGAAGGGAGAAAATGTATGGCTGGACCGGGAATTGAACCCGGGACCCCTGTATCTCTAGTCAGGTGCTCTACCAACTGAGCTATCCAGGCCGATATCCACGGCCCTAACCATTACATTCCTCCCTCCTTAAATGGTCTTCACCCTCGAAGACACAACCCAAGTTCTTGTTGCCCCTGGCAGGACTTTCACCTGCAATTCCAGGGGTGGTCAACGGCACCAAATCTGTTACAGGAAGGGAGAAAATGTATGGCTGGACCGGGAATCGAACCCGGGACCCCTGTATCTCTAGTCAGGTGCTCTACCAACTGAGCTATCCAGGCTGATATCCACGGCCCTAACCATTACACATATATTTAAATTCAACAATGTTAACGTTTTAACATTTAATGAAAAAACTGCTCAAAAAGCTACAAAGAAGCAAGATTTATGAGGGACTATTTCTTGTGGTGGAAGGATATTTAGCAGATAATTCTGCAAATCTGCACATTTATCCTGGAACTTTAGCCTCACATACTTTTACTCTAAAAATATTTTCCATTATGATATTGCTAGGAATATTTAATTTAGGTCTTAATTTATATTTTGAGAACAAGTTTTACACCTTCCTTCAACAAACTTTGCCAAAATATGAAGATATTCAAATAAGTCAAGATAAAACTTACACCATTTTTTGCCTGAAAATCACTGTACAAGTATTTTGACCAATATTTCAAAATTAACATCACTGACCCCAACTTTTTTTTTCATTATTTTAAAGTACTTGATACTTGTAGTCGTAAAAAGCTTGATTTAACAAAATGTTTTATTGCCTATTTAGTTTTAAGCTATTGCTGTCCGTTTTCGTGTGCCGTGCATTAACATTTAAACATTTTCAGCTTCTTCTCTAAAACCGCTGAACCAATTTCAACAAATTTTGGCATATAGCATCTATGGGGGAAGGGAAACAAAAATTGTGAATTTCCTGGTCCCTGCCCCTCAGGGGCCTGGGGGGTGGGGCCAAAACCACTAAAATTAGTGCAATCTTTAAAAATCTTCTTAACTCCTGGACATCAAGCAGTCAAACTGTTGGTATGATTGTAATCTCATTGAGTCCTCTATCAAAATTGTGAAATTTATGGCCTCAGGGTCAGGGGTTCTTAAGTGCTAGAGTGGGGCTACATTGATTAAATAACGAAAATGCATTATTTCTTTGAAAATCTTCTCTGCTCCTGGTTAAGAAATAAACTAATTAAGTACATAGTTATGATAAGCAAGAGTGCCTCTACCAAAATTGTGAATTTTATGGCCCCAGGGTCAGGGGTTCTAGTGTGAAGGCGGGTTCTATTGATTATTTAGTGAAAATGCATTATTTCTTTGAAAATCTTCTTCTCTGCTCCTGAGTATTAGATAAACTAGTTAAGTACATAGTTATAATGAGCAAGAGTGCCCCTACCAAAATTGTGAATTTTATCGCCCCTGGGTCAGGGGTTCTGGTGTTAGGGCACAGCTCTATAATGATTTTATAGTGAAAATACATTACATGTATGAAAATCTTTTTTCTCTGCTCCTGGGTAATAAGCAGATGAACTACCTATAGTTATGATGTGCAAGGGCTCTTCTTCCAGAATTTCAAGGCCCCTGGGTCAGGAATACCAAGGGGGGGCTCTACTTATATTTTGAAAATGAATTGTTTGAAATCTGCTCCTTGGTATTAATCAAACATTTTAGTGAGCCTTTTCAAAAATTGTGCAGTGTGTAGGTCAGGCGTTCATGTGTAGTAGGGGTACTTCTGATTATTGCTGAATATTACTGATTAGTTGAAATGCATCTTTTTAGCTCACCTGAGCTGAAAGCTCAAGTGAGCTTTTCTGATCACCCGTTGTCCATCGTCCGTCTAGCTGTCTGTCTAGCTGTCCGTCCGTCTGTAAACTTTTCACATTTTCAACTTCTTCTCAAAAACTACAGGGCCAATTTTAATCAGACTTGGTACAAAGCAGCCTTGGGTGAAGGAAAATTTGAATTGTTAAAATCAAGGGCCAGCCCCTTTCCAAGTGGAGATAATCACGAAAATACAAAAATAGGGTTGGGTCATTAAAAAATCTTCTTCTCAAGAACCACTGGGCCAGAAAAGCTGAAACTTATATGGAAGCATCCTGGGGTAGTGTAGATTCTTAATTGTTCAAATCATGATCCCCGGGGGTAGGGCGGGGCCACAATAGGGAACACAATTTTTACATAGAAATATATAGGGAAAAAACTTTAAAAATCTTCTTCTCAAGAACGACTGGGCCAGAAAAGCTGAAACTTATGTGGAAGCATCCTGGGGTAGTGTAGATTCTAAATTGTTCAAATTATGACCCCGGGGGTTAGGGCGGGGCCACAATAGGGAATCCAAGTTTTACAAAGAAATATATAGGAAAAAACTTTAAAAATCCTCTTCTCAAGAACCACTGGGCCAGAAAAGCTGAAACTGATGTGGAAGCATCCTTGGTAATGTAGATTCTAAATTGTCCAAATCATGACCCCCGGGGCTGTGGCGGGGCCACAATAGGGAATCCAAATTTAACATATGATTATATAGGAAAAAACTTTAAAAATCTTTTTCTCAAGAACCACTGTGCCAGAAAAGCTGAAACTTATATGGAAGCATCCTTGGGTAGTGTAGATTCTAAATTGTTCAAATCAAGACCCCCGGGGCTGTGGCGGGGCCACAATAGGGAATCCAAGTTTTACATAGAAATATATAGGAAAAACATTAAAAATCTTCTTCTCAAGAACCACTGGGCCAGAAAAGCTGAAACTTATGTGGAAGCATCCTGGAAAAATGTAGATTCTAAATTGTTCAAATTATGACCCCTGGGGGTAGGGCGGGCCATAATGAGGAATCCAAGTTTTACATTGAAATATATTTGGAAAAATCTTTGAAAATTTTCTTCTCAAGAATCATTGGGCCAGAAAAGCTGAAACTTATGTAAATCTTGGGGTAGTGTAGATTCTAAATTGTCCAAATCATTACCCCTGGGGATAGGGCTTGGTCACAATTGCTATTACAAAGGGGGGAAATCTGATAAAGAACAGCATGGCCAAAGATTCTCAGGTGATTGATGTGGCCCATGAGTCTCTTGTTGTTCCCCTACTCCGCCTATGGGTATTAAGTAAACAAACTAAGCAATTGCTAAGTGTATAGTTATGATTAGCAATGGTGCCCCTTTCAAAATTGTGAATGCCATAGCATCTAGCTTCAAACATGAACCAAATTCAATCATTTGAAAGTTGTTGCATGATGCTCAGGTGACCTATAAGGCCCATGGGCCTCTTGTTTTATACCCCCAAACATGTTACTTTTTAGTGCAAAGAGGTTGCACAATAATTTACGTGCATTAATTTGCAAGATTTGTTCAGTGATAAATATTATTCAAACTGTTTTGCGTAAAATAAAATTATATTTATTGCCATGGTTACATGTGATAAAATATGATAAAGGTTAAAGTATTAACCAAAGAGTTAAAATTTATTATAATGATAAGTGGAAAAGGGTCAACTTAATTGTACCTTAGATCAGTAAGATGCACACTGACCCCCTATTTTCTCTGCGATTTTGGGTCACACTATATGAGTACTTATCCAAAATATACTTCTTAAAAAATCCTTGATTTAACAAATTTCACAAGTGACATACCTTAAAACTTGGTTATTGTATCCATTTAGAACAATTTTTTATTTAACATATTATACTTTATAAAATTTCCTTTCTGTTTTCTGAAACCTGAGTTAACGTCATCCTTAAGAGTTGTTGCTACCAGCAAGGTAAGGAAGAAGGGAAGAGTGCGTATGTTTGTGATAAATAATTTTTGTGATATAATAAAAATATAATTAAATTTGTCCTTTCTCAGCTATTGTTTTATATTTAATGATTAAGCCATAATTTTCCATACAAAGTAATTAATAATAAAGTGTGTATT